CCGGGCGCAGAGCGGAGCGCGGAGCACAGCGGCTTCTCAAGGAGGGGGGGGAAAACACACCCAAAATCGCTTTTTCGGGAAGAGAACACCCTCCCTGGGTGCTGACAGCCCCGGGGCGGCTAGTGCAGAATAAACCATCCGCTTCTCGCTGTATTTCTTTGGATTTTTGCCGGGGGAGCGCATCGCTGAGCCTGCGATTTGCTCCGCATCGAATGCCCCCTCGGCCCCCCCTCGCAGGAGGCGAAAAGGGCGGTTTACTTCGCTTTACATCGCTCTGCGACTGAATCTCCCCCACCTGTCCCTAAAACACCAGGGGATGGAGCTTGAAACACCACACAAAGAGCTCGTGTAAAACCCATGTTCAAAACTGTCGCCATCGGCAGCGTTTCCACTTGGAAATAAAATATCTCCGAAAAAAACCCAACCCCAAACCTCCCCAAAAATCAAACCGTTCCCCTTCAAAGAATATCAGTCCCTGCACGAGTGTCCTTTCTCACTCTCGCAGTATCTTTTCGGAGTGTGAAGATTTGGTTTCCGATGTATTTATTACAGCCAGCAAACGTTAAAATGGAAATACATCGCCTCGGGTTTTACAGGCCTCGCCGTGGGAATAGCAGAAACGTTGGAGGGTTTTAAACCGAGCCCGTGAATCGGGGAAAGGAGAATTTTAAGGAAGAAAAAGCCGGGTCGGGTCGTGTCTGATGTACGAGGGGGATGACGGCGTGCCGGGCTGGATGGACCGTGCCGGCCTGGGAGGGATGAAGGGCAGAGAAACACGCCGGGACAGGGGCTGGTGGTGACACTTTCTTGTTTATAAAACCTCCTCGCAGGTCCCAGCAACACTTTCAGGTTTAAAATGGGCCTGGGATGGGTTTTTTGGAGGGGAGAGGACGGGAAATTTTCTGTGTTGAAGATTGGGGGGTGGCCCCCGCAGACGAACGGGACTCGCTTTGGCTGTTCTTTGCTGATGGTTTGGGTGGTTTAATCAGGTCCGCCCCCAACCCCCGGGGGGGGGGGGAGACAGGCAGGGAAGGGG